AAAAAGTCATTTCGAATCTTTCAGTCGGATGTCATTCTATCATATCGTTCATTCTTGTCCCGTTCTCATCAATTTTTTCTTTAGCTTGGATGATTGGATGTGTTCAAAAATTACAATTTGTGAATTAAATGTTTATCATCTTTGTTTGTGCTAGTTTATTGAATTCATCCAATCGACGTAGTGTTAAAAATTTATTTGGTTGTAGTGGAGTACAAAATATATAGATTGAATTCAAAATCAATAACATTAACAGTGTTGTTTACATGTGAGTATTATACATTGTTTAAAATATTAATTCATTGTTATATTATCATCCTTCGTTTCCTAAATGTGTCAGGTGTATTTTTATAAAAACATACATAAGAACGTGTAAATGTTAACAGTAAAATATATAGTATTAGATATCCTTTGTTTACATTAGTCAATCACTCAAAAGATATTTATTGAAAATTAAACAGTTTCATAATTCCGTGACTAATATATGACGAATCTATTGTCCATGCAATATCGTTACAATTTATATTGAATTTCTACTTTTGTTGTATTTACTACTAATAATAGCTTACCACATAATTATTTTAAATTCAAACTTAATAAATGCTTGTACCACTTCAAATTGTTATATTTATGTAAACATTATGAAAGAAAGTTCTCTGATATATTGACACAAGTATAGGATGGTTGAATCCAATAACTAATCTAATTTTGGTCATTTTGATTTTTGCAAAAGCAATTGAAAAACCTAACCAACCTTATCTGACTTGAGATGTCTTAAGACCTAGGCCCATGTGCTATATTTATGTCAATGCTAATTTTATTTGAGCGATTTATTTTATTATTGGGTATCTGTATTTGTTTCTTTTAGCTCTCAGTTATCAAAGACTTAAAGAGGTTGTCTTTGAATGCATTGTATAATTCCTTTCTTCTTTGACCTTTATGCAAAATGATATTGATTTTAGTTTTTAAAAGAAACAATGAGATACTTTTACTTTTGCATTGTAGTATATCCTTGCTTAAAATTGTTATAAAAATAACATGTTTTATCATGTTTTATTTCTTTTGCTAAACTAAACACATTCAAATCTGGATAAACGTCAAATCTCTAAAGAAAAATATTTGGTCACTTGGCCTCTTGCTCATCTAAGCTCAACTATATATCTGTCTATAAGACAATTGATCATTTATTTTTAAAATCTTTTAAGGTTCTCTGTGTATTCTAATTTTTTTTTACTGACAATCTGAAATTGACAAATGATATTCTTATAAATACTGTTTTTGAATGGTCCTTAATGAATATATAACATAATATATAACAAAATAATAGTAGACATAATTCAGATTCAATGGGATCTTTATAACTTAAACCTAGTTAAGTCAAAATCCTTAATAAATAAAAAGATAATGGCCTTCGGCCAGATCCTCAACCTTTCAGTATCTCAAATTGTTTAGACTTTGTAACTTAAACAAAATTTTATGCAAACATTTTGTTATATTTATAGTGATACATACTCATATTTGAAAAAGAACTAAGTCAAAATAAGGTTAAAAATAGTATTCACAATGATTTATTTACTAAGTTGTAACCTTTTTAAATACTATACTGTATGAACAATTTTGTTAAAATGGACCTTAAACTTAAGAAGGTAAAGTTGAAATTCAATCAACTCTATGCTAAAATAACTGTTGTGGTGTAACATGATCATGACAAATCCTATTCTGTCCTTGAAAGATGATATCATACTTCCGAATTAGGTTTTAAACACACTATTTTGCATTTATTTATCTGTTACAAATTTGTGCCTTGTAAATAAATTATCCCTTTCAAATAATAAAATCAAAATATTATATAAGAACAATATAGATTGAAAACAATTGTGACATATGAAGCATTAGGTATATAACAGGCTTTATTTATAAATGTTGCACAACATTTGTATATAATAACATCAAATAACAGTTATTGTTGTGCTTTAGGAATGGGAACTTCTGACACTATGGCGTCGACTACGATGATCGAGACAGTCACGATAACTCGCCCGCTGAAGGTAAGTCTCGAGTAATATTACCATCTTACATTACTTTTTTATATAAATGATAATGTTTGGAGGTATAGATGGATAGATGTTTGTTAGATGGTATCTTCAGAATGCTTCAACGGATCTCTATGAAATTAGGCTGGGTTGTAGGACATAGTCTGGAAGAACACATAGGCTACTAATTATTTTTTTAATTCCGGGCGGGCGAAATTGCGGCAACAGCTAGTATTAACTATATTCACGTATCATCGACCTATACTTTATATTTGTGCTATAAATCGCGCAGTACATACTTCCGTGTGTTTTGACAGCATCACAATTGTCATGTTTATACGTAATTTTTCTTTGTATATCTCCAGCGGCATTTCCGAATACGATTTAAGAAATTCCAAATATTATGAGAATATTTTCCGCTCCATTCTGAATAGCGTTCAGAGATATAGAACCCTAAATACTCCTGCCCCTCTCTTCAACTATTTTTCTTGAATCATATTTGATTGAAATCTAATTTAAACGTCGGTGGAAAGTTATTCTTTGAGTCGAACGTAACTAAGTAGGTATTAGTTTACCAGTACTTAGTTTACAACTACATACTTCAGTAAAATAAAAGAAACAGTCAACTAAGGTCTAGGTAACCCTGAGTTAAGTATTGTCGTACCTTAGGAAACGATATCATTTATCCAATTATGAAATCCCCTTGTTCGGAGTATGTTTTATTATCTCTTGTGAATACTGACAAGTGCACAATGCGCGCTATTGGATTAGCAAATGAGTTCGCGCGCCGACAGTCAGCACCGGGCTCGTGATGCAGCCGCACGGGAACCTCTCCGCCAGCTGTCTCTGGCAGCCGGGCGAGCTGGCGCGTCGCATGCTAGGCGAGCGCCCTGCTCCCGTTCCGCCCACCCGGGACCTTTGGCCCAAGCCAGAGCATCCCATGAGCATTAGCACCCTGCACGTTGCCTATCTGCACGACGATCCGCCGCCGAGACGTGCCTCCTCGCTCCATGAACAACCTTACCTTCCGACCACGGTAGAAGACGACTGCGAGTACAGGCCACGTCTGTGTACCGTCGGTACTAATACTGATCCGCCGCCCACAATATTCGATAGGATCCGACATGCCATAAAAAAGCAACACATTGACCCGGTCGAAAGCTCACCGCCCGGAAGACTTAGGATAGTGGCGCGAGACGAAGCTTTAGAAATAAAAGACGAGAGGAATGCGGCTCAGAGAGCGTTGATAGGAATCAAGAAGGCTATCTCCGGTGCAAAGTGCCGCATCACGCCAGGATCGGAAAGCGTAGAGAGTCCTAAAATTGTTTTTGATACGCCGAAACCTGGAGATAGGATGATGACTACGTTCGGCGCTCGGCCGAGAAGGCGTTGGTGCAGGGTGCCCTCTCGGTACGAGTTTGTGAGGCAGCTGTGGGAGCTGGGCGCGTGCTGCGCGCGAGCGCCTCGCCCCCCGCCGCGTCGCACGCCCCAACCGCCCCTACAGATAACTCAGGTGTAACTTGGGAACCATACATGCCGTAAACGGACTCTATAGTGCTACAGTTGGATCGCTATTTATTATTTGTGTAGAAGCGATGGCAGTAGCGCGTCGGCTAATAAACTCATGGCTCGCAATTTGCGTTTTGTTGGCGGTCGGAGGGCGGAGGCGCGCCGCGGCAGCGGGCGGGCGGCGGCCGGGCGGCAGTCTCGCGCCGGGCGCCGCGTCGCTCGCTCCCTCGCACGAGCACAGCTTCCGCCCTTCGGCCGCGTCCGCACACCCATCCTCACTTTCTATCCCGCTTATATTCCTTTGATTGCAAAACGAAACAAATTACGTACTGCAAAACATATTTATTAATTAAATACCAGAAGAGTAAGAGGTGATTTTGTCTCCGAATCGTAAAACCAGCGCGACCCAATGCGCAATACCCGCAAAGGACGAATTGAGTCGAAATTTTTCATTACTGACCCTAACTTCTTTACCTTTATCGTGTGGATTTCAACCTATACATTGTTTTCTTAAACTTTAAGTGCTTTAGAAAGTTTTCTTTAGTGTTATCGGACAGACAATCGTGACATCCCCAAACAATATAATCAAGTTTCTTCGTATTTAATAAACTCTGAATTACCTTTAGGCCATGTCATCATTCTGATTTCACCGAAATATACGAAGAACTTTCACTTTTAGTTCATCCGTAATGTTTGTGTTCTGATTTCACTTGGTATTTTGAAGCATACGAAGTTCTTTAGCTTGTCCCGTATTTAATTTTGTTGCTTTATAAATGGTATTGATATAATAAATAGTAATAGTAAACAAATAACTAAACATATGGTTTCCATACGGAAAGTAAACGTATCGTAGTTTCTCTATTGTAAATAAATTACTTTGTCAGATACAGAGCGTGAACGTTCAGTTTATTTACTCTTTCTATTATTGGATTACACATTGCCCACTGTGTCTAGTGTTACCATTACTAAAGTACAACTTCATTGTTTGATTGTAAGGGTTTTCGGTCAGTGCACCCGTATGCTAGACCTTTAGAATACAGAGGATTCATTTGAATTTGAACTGGTCATTTTGTACAATACCTTGTGAAGATTTGTTGTGCTAGAACAAAGTAATAATAATCTTTGAAATACAGACATTATATGTGATCATTAAGAAGAAATATCCGCTGTTGTTTGGACATTATTAGAACTATTAGGAATAGAAAGGTGTCTCCGTTACCGTTGATGATTATAGAAAAAATATTGAACTAAGAAAATATTGAGTAAGGCTCCTATTCTGTTCCAATTACAAAAATATTTATTCGTCTGGTCGTCTTGTTGGTGTATTGTAGCTGTTCTACATATTCTATGACAAATCATACGGTTCAAGTTTACAGCTAAAACGAATGTATCTTTCTACTTCTCAATAGATAACAATATACCGTAACATGTACGTAATTTAAAAGTACTTGAACGAATAACTACGGCATAAAAGTGGCATTTATTCGCTCGGTTTGTATTTGATTCGCGTTGCATCGTAAAACGATGAGAATTGAGAGTTTTCAATTTGACGGAATGAAAATATTTTAGTATTGATTGCTAACGGTACATGTCCATGTGAATTGGTTTAAAATATACGTTAGGAAATTACGATTTTTTTATGATTAAGTAAGATGATTTACATCTGCTTGCATGAGTTTTATGAACGATGTTGTCGTTGTCGTTTGATTATACGTACAATTATGAATAGAATCTCATGGGATAAGTCTTTATAATACTTTCAATAACACTATGATACTATAATTACACAACAATTTTCTATATTTATGTAGGATTTTAAATCCAAAGTGCTAATGGAATAAGTGTATATTGTTTTTGGTAATGTGGAATGAAAAAGGTTAAGTCATAAAAATCTTGAGCAAGAAAGAGCTTTAAAGTTGAGAAAAATTAAGTTTAATAAAAACACGGGCGTGAAGCTGAATTAATTGATTTTACCGAGCGCTGCCTCTCAATGTAAACTAGTCATAACTAACGAGCTCAAACTTTTCTTAAAGGCTTTTATTTCACTAAAAATATTACGTTTTTAAATGAATATTTAATTTTAGCGAGATGTTTTATAAAACTAGATGTTACAAATTAGATGTAAAAACATATTTATTGTCATCTGACCTCTTGCTTTAAAACTATTATGGTAAACTTTTATAAACACCAGTCTTAATATTTCCAAAAAAAACATAGATTTTTAACTCAAGTGATATCAGAAAACTGTCGTTGTGTTCCGTCAGAAAGGCCCTTATTTTTGTTGCACGTTGTTGATATATGACCTCATTCAGCGGCAGTTTTCCCCGCGATCACTGTAAACCTTTGCCGCTTTGACCTAATTCGCGGAAAACTACGTGCACTCGCTATTTGAATTCCGTATCATTGCATCTGAAATGAACGTATTTAGCCGTTTTATACTCTGTGATTGTGTGTATACAGTATTGTCATGCTAATCAATGATTGTTAAACGGATAAGCTGAAATAGATACAGTTAAAACCGGTTATATTGACATTGGGAATATTTACGTAAACTAGCGGTCGCCTGCGACTTCGTCACGCAGAATTTAACGAAAATAGGCTATGACATGCCCGCGTTCATCAGCTACCTTCCCGTCAAAGTCCAGTTAAAATCGGTCCAACCGTTTCGGAGATTACCCGGAACGCATTATTACGCAAACGCATCCTTACGGACAAACTTACAGGCAGACAATAAATTAAACCAAGGAAAGAATGCAACTTAGGAATGTACTGAAACACTAGACAATAAATGCCTTTTGGTGATAGATTGAATGGAGTAATTTCTATATAAGTGTCATCTGAAGAAAAATGTCCGTTAACTTGTGGCCTTGTATATTATGTTACTGTGTGGCCTATAAAAAGCCTCGAGGTTTTCTCTCTTTGTTGAATATTATTTCGCAAACAATGCCAAATGAATACGTTCTATTTAAATATAAATCATTATTTCTAAAATGAGTTTCAAGAACGCAGTTTTATATTACTTTTATTCATGAGTTAAGAGTAGATTTGTTTTTTTTAAAGCGCTGAACTAAAGTTTTACTTTTAAACTAAGCTGCATTTATTAATTTTAAATTATTTTATTCTCATATTCTTTAACACAGTTATCTCAAAAACCAATTAATTTGAATAAATTTATAATGCTTTTATTTATTTATCTTATTTCTTACTAATATTATAAATACGAATGTTTGCATGGATGGATGGACGGATGAATGGATGTTTGTTTGAAGGTATCTCAAGAACGACTGCATGGATCTCGCTTTAATTTGGCAAAGACGTAGAACATGGTCTACAAGAACACATAGTTTTTTTTTTAATACCACGTAGATGGAATCGCGGGCGACAGCTAGCTGTTATTAAATGTAATTATACATATGGTATAATAAAATACACATGATATGTGTCGTGATGTGATAGTTTATGTAAAATAGTATTTCGTAATAGTTGTGAATACCAGTGTCATAACA